TTCCTTCTTTAATAAAGCCAACATGTTACTTCATGTAGATTTCTTCATCCAAGTCACCATGAAGAAATGTAGTCTTCACATCTAACTACTCAATGTAGATATTTTTAGTAACTACTAAGCTCAATACCACTCTGATGGTTGTAAGCTTCACGACGGAAGAAAATATCTCGGTATAATCCACTCCTTCCCGCTGTTGGAATAGTTTCACACCTAATCTGACCTTGTACCTTTTGCTTCCATCACTATCCTGCTTGACCAGATAGACCCATTTGTTATGTAAGGCTTTCTTCTGTGCAGGTAGCTGGGCTAACTCCCATATCTCGTTTGAATGGAGAGAATTCATCTCTTCTTGCATCGCATGCTCCCACTGGTGAGATTCACAAACTTGCATAGCCTCATCATAGCACTCTGGTTCTCTGCTATCTGTCAAAAATAAGCAGTCAAGTGACGAAAAATATCTAGAATTCGGTTTTGGTACCTTAGATGACCTCCTAGGCTCCTCACCCACATAGTCCTCTCTGCACCTGGAGTCGTCTCCGTTCTTCGGTCAGAATTAATATTCTTCCTATCTGAAAGTTCCTCCAAATCCATGTACTCGGATTCACCTGCATCCTTAATGTTGATCCCACTGATTTGGTTATCCCTGTCATTGTCACTGTCATTGTACATCACCTCTTCATTAAATATGACATCTCTGCTCCTGATGATTCTCCTATTCTTCTCATCCCACAAACGATATCTGAATTCATCAATGTCGTATCCAATAAATGTACACTTCTGTGACTTAGCTTCTAGCTTGTCTCTGGCATGGTCACTGATATGAACATATGACATAAAGCCAAATACTCGCAAGTATGAGAAATTTATTGTCTTGTCACTCCAAACCTCTTCTGGAATCCTAAAGTTCAATGGAATTGATGACCCATGATTAATCAAATAAGCTGCAATATGCACCGCGTTCGCCCAAAACATCTTGGATAGACCTGCATGTAAATGCATGCCCTTCGCACATTCAGAGCACATAACCTCTTGAACTCCTCCGGCTCGTATTCTCCATCATCGTCCGATCTCAGACACTTCACCTTCAGATCTGTCTCATTTCTACCATGACTTTTGACTTCTTAAAAGATCCCGAACACCTCTGACTTGTGATTTATGAAGTATACTCACACATTCCTCGAGTGATCGTCGATAAAGGTAACATAGTACACCAAACCGCTAATAGAATACATGCTAGCTAGACCCCAAACATCAGTATGAACAAGTTCTAGCTTCTGAGCTTTAGGTGGTCTTCCACTCTTCTGAAAGCTGACCCTCTTCTGCTTCTCATAGATGCAATCTTCGCAAACACCAACTTTAACTGAATCGATGCCGGATAGCTTTTCTTGAGAGTGTAGAATTTTCATACCATTTTCGCTCATGTGTCCCAACCTATTGTGCCACAAATCTGCACTCTCATTGTCAGCTGCAATTGCGAGAGTATCACTCGCATGTGAAGTTAGGTAGAGTGTTCCGGTTTTGTTGCCACGGGCAACCACTATAGTATCGTTGGAGATTTTTTCTACGAATTTCTAGTAAATATTGTAACATAGCCTTCTGCTCCAAGCTAGCCAACCGAAATAAGATTCTTCTTCAGCTTCGGTACATGTCTGACAGTCTTCAAATTCCACTTAGAGCCCTTCATCTGTATCTGCACATCTCCTCTTCCCATAATACTGCAAGGCTCGTTATCCCCCAAGTACACTTTTTCGAAGTCCCATGGTACATAGTTCTGAAGAAGCTTCCTATTAGCAGTGCCGTGGAATGAGGCTCCTGAATCAATAACCAATGAATCAGAATCGCAGTCCATAGCAAGGATCAAGGCATCTTGCACGATATGAATCTCCTGCTCATTCGCATCCTTCTTTGACGCTTTTTAGACTGAAGACATATAGCCCTCTTGGTCGCAGTTCCAACACTTCCTTTTGATAGGCCTCACCTTCGAGTTTGACCTTTTTTCTTCAACTTCGACCGATTCCTGTTCAGGTTACCCTTCTTCTGGCTTCGGCTTCTCTGCTCGAGATTTAGGGCTGAACCTGAACTTTCTGATTCGAACGATTTTCTTCTAACCTCCTTGGATAGAAGCATACTAACCACCTCGCTCAGCTTCAACTTCTCCTTCCCCGTCGAGTTGCTAATTGCAGTCACGCAACCGGCCCAACTATCCATCAATTGTAGTAGAATCAATAGGGCCTGCACATTGCCATCAAACATGATGTCGACGGAGATAAATTGATCAATGATCGTGTTGAACTCGCTGGGATGCAACGTGAAGGAGTATCATTCTGTAATCTTGAGGTTGAAGAGTGTCTTGATGAGATTCACCTTGTTTGTGGCTGACGGTTGCTCGTACATCTTCGCGAATACTTCCATAAGCCTCATCGTTGTCTTCCCCTTCAATATGTTGTGGGTGACTGATTTGGCGAGCGACAACCGAATCTGCCCTAGAGCCTTCCGATCCAGTATTTCTCAGTCCTTGTCTGATTCATCCTTCTTCTTTCTCTTAGCTTTGCCTATCAACGGACAGTAAAGATCCTTCTAGTACAGATAGTCCTCCATCTGCGACTTCCAGTAGGCAAAGTCTGATCCGTCAAACTTCTCGATCTTTGATTTGCTTTCTTCTGCCATAGCTCTCACACAAATCTTTACCGAACGAAACTCTGATACCAGATATTAGGGTTGAACACAACGCGACAATCTGTGCCCTTCCGGATCTTGTGTCGAAAGTAGGCAAGTAAGAAATCACATCAAATAAAAAAAGCTCATAGGAAAGAATAAAACAAAGAGAGAACACCAGATTTAACGAGGTTCAGCAAACGTTCCTACGTCCTCGGGAGCCACACCAGAAAATTCCTTTGATATTGAAGAAGATTACAATGCCTGCAAACGGCCTCTCTCTCTCTCTAAGATCTCTCTCTCAAAGTGTTCAGAAAACCCTCTCAAAACCCTCTTTATTCGTGTGTTGTATAACCCTAAAAAACGTTTAAGGATTATATATATACTTAGCTTAAAACAGGAGTTCAACCCAAACCAGGAAAGTCCATATAACTCTATCAGTCGACTGATACACATGCATCAGTCGACTTGCCAGAACATGGGTTTTACAGGGTCTCTCGTGCACGTTTATCAGTCGACTGGTGGCACACAATCAGTCGACTGATGATCTCCATCAGTCGACTGTCCGGAACGTGGTTTTCTGGGTTGTTTCCTACAGTCACGTCGGTCAACTGATCTAGGGTCTTCGGTCGACTGATGTTGGGATTTTCAGCTACTTGTTGATTTCATCTTCAGGTTTTGGTCTACACACATCCAAAACCATCACTATCTATAACTGATTGGATATGATTACGAATATGGTTACGTAATGAAATATATGGATCCATATCCAAAATATCCAAATATATATTGGTCATAATGTTGCAATATTTTTTAGTTCTTAGATTAATGGATTTGAGGTTAATTTTGATGATCAAGATATCTAGTCTTAATTTTACACACACACACACATATTCGAACTCTCTTATATCATATCTCTTGTATCATATGAATTATATTTTTTTCAATATTATTTGGTTTTTACGTATCCATTTTATATTCACATGTATATCTACTTTGCATGCATACCCTCTCCATATCCGAATTTAGCAGATATTGATATGAATTTTCCTTACTATAGCATATCTGTATTTGTATCCATGATTGGTAAGCGGATACGGATACGATAAGTATCATATCGGAGCCATATCCAAAGTGTACGCACCCCTGGCGACGGTCCATAGTAAAATTGAAGTTATGGAAGGTTCTAGGTTAAAACTAAATTTTCTTTCAAAAGAGAAAAGTAAGTACTTTCCAAAAGAAAGAAAGAAGAAGAAGAAGAAGAAAAGTAAGTATAGAAAAAACATCTGAACCGTCAAATAAAATAAAAAGGAAAAAGAAACTCCTGAAACAGACAAAAGAATGCTAGGATTTATAAATCTTGAGGCAAGATTTTCACATTCAAGGGACACAAAACTTGGTCAAATTATGACAGGGTTATATCATAACTTATCTCACTAATAGAATCACATCAAAGTGGTCCAATCCAGGGAGGGGAGACCCATGTCTAATCCTATTCTACATTCAGGCAATGGCCCAATAACGCAATCAGTCGCCCCTAGTGTCGAAGCAGGTAAAATAACATGCTTCACCCTCGGATATGATCATACCTAACTATATTCCTACTCCTGTGGGACTTTGACCAGCGTCTACATGGGAACCCATGATCTCAACTAGCGTTTCACAAATCGCCACATATATTTAAACAACATGATTTTCATTAAAATCTCCAAAAAAACGATGGCTCGGGCGTAACAATATCAGCAGCACACTAGCCGAGAACCCTTTGACGAGCGTCTATATCTGCGTTACTAGGAGTTTAATATACCGCACCGTAATCTTAATCGGCGTTGCTGATCAACTCTCAGCTGATAATTTGGACGTGAGCCACATCTGCAACGCACCAGCCTAGCCGCTAAAGGAACCACCCACTAGCCCTATTCATCTCGTATGTTAGTTTCAGAGAAGTCCAGGAAGCCCGTGCTAATCCTCTTCAGAACACCACAACCAACAATCGACACCTATAACTTGACATTAACAATAGCTGCCCACTATAGACTGCTACAGGGACGTTAGGTCCGTTATCACAGAATAACAACCAAGGTTGAAAGTAGAAGAAAGACTTGTGGCCAAGTGACGCCTAGCACGAGCTTGACTTGATACCCTTTTGATTCACCTCCCACACTAAGCCCCTAGAATGCCTACATCAAACGCTGTTAGTTGATTAATACCTACATAGAAGAGCAAAGAGAATTATAGCTTGATCATCCAGAATTGACCGTTCAATTGTCGTCAAATCAAAGCACCAATTATTTCCGTGCACGCGAATGACCGAACAAAGACAGATACTGAGGCGACTCATCACATACCACCGCTGCATACGGCTACTTTCTCAAGCTTGCACTACAATTATTCAATGAAAGAAATGCATAGTAGGATGTTGTAATATTTTTCTGGTTAAGTTTAGCTACAGATACAATAATAAGAATTTTTTTTTCCCCTTTTCCAGAAGGGGTGATGAACTAGACTAATATGTTAGTGTACAGTTACAGACAGATAATCCTATGCTTGCTCTCCCCTTGTGTTCGTACATTAAGGGCTCATTTGAAGCCCTTGGATTTTTCACCTGTATTCAGTTGAAACCCTAGGTTTGCTTTTCCCGCCAGAATTCAGATACTGGGAAACAAATATGACTCCCATGATAACGATCAGGCAACCGACGAGAGTGCTAAAGAATAGAGCTCCGGGCTGCCTGACCTGCACAAATCCGTAAACTCCTCCAGAAGTTAGGAGAACAATATCAGTGAGTCCATCGCCGGTGAAATCCTCCAGTACTAAAGAGTGAGTCGGAGACTCGGGCAATTCGATCGTAGCCAACATGCTTCCCCTAGGGGAAATAATGACGGCTTCTTGGTCTCCGCCTGCAATTATCACCTCATGATGATCATGAATGCGAAGGCGGAAGGATTTTAAAGTGGGAACCACTGCATCTTCCATCATTCCTGATGGAGATGGGAGATTCGACCAAGTTGCACCAGATGTTAGTTGCCACCTCCAAATGGCACCCTCGCCATGCAAGCCCGGGGAGTATGAGGTTACCTGGAACAAATGTAGCAATAATGAATATCTCAACTAGTGGAGCGTAAATAGTTGGGCACTGGATGCAATTTTTTTGGGTTAACTGTGAATAGGCTCCTTGTAGTACCGCCCAGTTGCGAATAGACCTCCCTCAGTAATATTTGTGCTTAAAAAGGTTTCGAGGAGGCGGATAGGCGCGGATAAACCCCCAATATATGATGTATTCACACTTTGAGTCAATGCTACAGGGAGTCTATTTGCACAAATAGAACGAACCACAGGAGGTCTCTCTTCGCAATTGGGTGATACTACTGGGGGTATATTCACAATTAACCCTTTCTTCTAGTAGTAGGTTAAATATAGTGAGAGATGAAGACACAAAAAGATATAAACCTCTCCTCGGTTTGTCAAGAATACAACATCGCCATGACTTCTTCTCTTGTGCTTTTGCCCATCATCTCTGTGAACCAAAATAGGGGTTGCCACCTCCAAGGTGCCTACATCAACACTCCTACCAAAACTTCTAGAATCATGCTGGAATAAGTTGAAAAGTGCATGATGGCAGATAGAAGCATTGAAAAGCTGTTCTCGTACAGGTACTCCAGATGTGGCAATTGCCCAGCAGGGTTTCAAAACTTCCATAGAACCAGTCACCACTCTTTGTTCAGCACCATGTCCCCCAACAACCTATAATAGGAAAAAAAATTGCCAGTAGATTGAGCATATTTGCATGAAAATTGTGCTCTATATTATATGATAGGAATTTTTATGAGATGGTGGTGTAAGTATCCACACACTTAGCATGGTAGTGGAATAGAGGGGGGAAATGGCATCCTGAAATAAAAACACAAACCCTATAAGAATTGTTTTTTTTTTTCTTGTTGAAGGCTTTAGATAGACAGTACTCTAGTGACAACCACTTTGCTAGTCACATTGGAGAAGAGGGACCTCAAGACTCCATGGAACTCAGTATGCTAAATGAGTTGGTAGTGCATAATCAATCCTGCATGCACGTGTCTATGTAGGCAAGTTACAGCCCGTGTAGGAAATATCCTACTACCGCGACAGACCGATTGGCCATTGACAATAGCATGATTTAATCCAATCATGATGCTCTTTTATCCTCGAAAGATACGTTTACGAGAAATTGTATGAAGGAAAAACAAATGTTCATGAATCAATTGGTCTCATCTCGTAGTCTTATTAAAATACCCTTCATTTCTTATTAGGATATATTTCGGAGATACAGATCAAAATGGACACTTCGGATCATCCATTTAGATGGCGTGGCAGTCTTTTAACAGGTCGATATATGATGTTTCCTACACAGGCTATCCATATTCCTTAATCATTCATTATCCCGGGAGACTTCATATGGCCATTGATCTCCCATTTCATGTACCCATATGTGTGCACATGTGTATATGTATATTACATACTAGTTCTACAAGAAATTAGAGCTGAACCCTTCCTGTTGATATATGATAAACATCCACTCGACTGCTGAATATTCCTTCCCACTGGCATTTGACAACAATTATCCATTGTAATGCGGAATTAATCTGCATAATTTTGGGAGACCAAAACTAAAACTTTAGGTTTTGAATTTTAAAGATCCATCCTGTGAACATGTACACACTTATACAAAAATACTTTCTAACTTAATGTGGAATTTCAACTAAATAAGTAAATCATTTACTCTTTCACTGTTCATATATGAAATCTGAAATCATGTGGACATCAATGTTTAGTTGCTAACCATGGAAAACCAAATACACAATAACAAAATTGCAACTAATTATTTCATCTTATACAAATTAGCCAGCAATTCTCATTAGTTACCAAATTCATGAAAGAAAGGTACATGGCTATGCAAAATAATTCTGGAAATGAAAACCCGTGCACCTGAACATGATCTAAAACCCCATCACCATTAATATCAGCATGAAGTCCCCCTTCCGGTAGATGAAGCTGGCAATAGACAGCAAATGAAATTCAATACAAATGTCAATTAAGTAACAAATGCTAACAAAGTACAAACTTCAAGGAATGTCAACAGTGTAAAATTTCTTCTTCCAAAAAAATGTAAATTGCTAATATACAAACATGATTATAACCAATGAACCAGTTCAGATGCATACTGGAACAATGCCAAATACTCGATATATCATAATTCCTCATGTCCTAGGAGGTCAAAAAGAGCAGTAAATTGAGAAAGAAAAAGGATGTGTTTTATATGGATTTCAAATGGGTTAAATGATTTTAGCTGAAACTAAACCCGGAATGAGCCTATATGTGATTTGAATGGTTAATATGGGCAAACAGAAGCATAACCTGCATATGGACAGCCTTGAAGTTTTCTGCATAACATGACCTATTAACTTCGAAGTGATGGACTTGTTTATGCCGCCTCAATAAACATATATTACAATATTGCCCACATGCCTCAACATATGATTGGGAAATGACAACATCCCCTCAATAAACATATATTACAATATTGCCCACATGCCTCAACATATGATTGGGAAATGACAACATCCCTACGTATCCATATACATACTAGTAACTTAGCACGAATTTATGATAGGGAAATGACACCACACCTGGATACAGGTAACACATACATACTAGCATCTTTGGACATGCTAGATATTAAAACTACTTTTTTTCTTCTAAATTCATATTAAAAAAGAATAGAAAACAGTCATAAGCTAGATTCTGAGAACTGAAAAAAGTATATTTTTAAGTTTGTATCACAATTTACATTACTTTCATTTATTAGTTTATGCGATGAATAATGTTCCATCAATTTTTATGGTATCCATAGTTTGTTTTTATAAGATAGTATACATGCACCCTTTATATGCATTAGATAAACTACATAACAAACTGAGACTATGGACACACCTTATTATTGTTCTACCTGACATGACATACGTACAGGACGCAATGGAGACATACTTTTGGGGTTTGGATTGACAAGCATAAACAGAGACGCATGGAGAGATAAAAGGGACCATTTAGGGATAAACGAAGAAAAAGGGAAAAAACAAAAAAAGGTGAGCACACAATCATTAATTTAACATAGTACATTTAGCATCATAGATTGTTAGCTAAACCATTTTGTTTAGAAAAAATTAATACATGTGGCAGATAATGGATCAATGAACAATAGAAGACTGTCCTAATCACTCTTTTGAGATGACCTACAAGACCACATGATTATTACATGCATATCATTGTTTCACAGTCATATTACTATTATGACTTAACTTCATTTGCTATCTTTAATAATAATAAAAAAGTTTTCCCTTTAGCTGCTACTACTGTTCTCATCATTTGTAGATGTGCATGTATTTACATGCCCATATAAAAATTACACAAATACCAACCTATAACATGTTCCCATATCCAAATGGTAATGAAGTGCAATGTCCGCAGACTCCGCACTAGTATCTGTTCTGCAGTGCAAACCCCAAACATAACCAAATTTTTTTATAGAACATTAAAGATAATTGGATTCCAAGACGAGTAACTATAAGAAAACAGTTTGAAGATCATAGAAAGAACATGCCTAATTAAAGCCCAGAAGCCCATAATGCTCGTCACATGTTTCAGAAGTGTAGACAGATCCAACTGTCAAATGGTCTTTTCCATGTTTATTTAAGAAAATAATAGTTGTAGCTTGGTTGGCACACAGTTTTAAGATTGTTTCTCCTCGACCTCTATATCCCAACAGCACTAAGTATGTCAAACATGTTTCTTGCAGCAAGATCGCAAATGTTTGTGGGCTACCCATGTCTAGCCTGGACATGTGATTTATTTTGAAGTGTAAATGCTTCAAGGTAGTTGTACAGAATTATTGATCGTCAGTCCATCCTTTCCAATTGGAATTTCAGGAATTCATAGAAACTGTTGTAATGCTCAACGAGAAATTGGTATCAGTCCTATAAGAGACAATCTTAGCTAGTAACTGTCACCAGAAAATGAGTAGCAAAAGGAACAGTGTAACATGTTATAATTAGAACTCAGTTGTAAAACCAAATATTATACGGACAATGGAATAAACCAAATAAACCACCTCAGCACATCTTTTGAGGACAATATAAATGGGAAATGACAATCTTTTCTAATACCAGTCCCCAAAAAACTGGTGATGCTTGTAACAATATTACCCCATTTTAAAATCTAATGCCAGAAAATACTTGTAAGCTTCAAACAGAACCCAAAATGAGAAAGCAGTCATTAAGAGAAGAAGAAGAAAGCACATAATGCTTATTAATTTATATTATTACAAGATTCTTGATATAGGAACCTTATGCCTAAGTCCAAAAGATGAAACACATTTTTTATAACTTAAATGTGTAGTTTTGCTGTGCACGCACTGCATGCATGCTATGTTGCTTGATCTTTATCCTCTAAAATTCAAAGAAATTTCTCTAGTCCATTCTAAAACACAGCCCTTCTCATGGGTATGATCAAATATCAATTGCCCTTCATACTGTTCATTGTCTCTTACACACCCTCTATTAAAAGGCATCTGAGTCTGATGTTTAATAGCTGCTCTAGTACTTCCTATGAATAATAGTGAGCTTGGAAGCACTCAAACAAGCATGGGCATGAGTGTGAGCGTGGTCTGCACTTTGGCTTCGGTGTAGGGCCGTGGGCATTTCTGCATAAGGTTTGAGTTGCGATACAGTTGCAATATGCTGGGCACTAAGCAATATGGGGGCTAGGGTGTGTCACAGTGTTATTTCTGGTTGCGTACACCCAGATCATCTTAATAATTATCCATATATTTCATATATACATATAAACATATATACATGTACTCTATATATGTCAAAATATAAAATTATAACTCTCAACACTCATCACAACTTTAGAGTTTTGTGAAGGGACTTTAAGATGGTATTAAAGCAAATGGATCAGGTTTTGGCCAATAGAAAGGCACTCAACTGGCAGAGGCATGTTAGAATGTAGAATTATAACCCTCAACATCACCACAGAAGTTTCGGTGCAGTGGAAGGGACTTTAGGATTATACAGTTATACTTATGAATATCCATCTTGACATAGCTGGATTGTGCTTGCACCATGTAGAACAAGTTTTACTGTCGAATTGGATTCATGAATTGAAAAAACTAATCAGCATAAAAGAATACAAATATGATGATGCCATTTGTAAAGAAGATGTTATAATTGAGATCAGAAAAAATAAAATAAACTCCTGTTGTTTCTTTCTACCAAGACTATGTTTCCGTTCAGCCCTCTAATCATCAGAATGTAGATCCATATTTTGTATGGTAAATTAGGTTAATAAAATATATCAATGTTTGTTGAAGGCATCTTCAGACTTTGCTCATGCACCAAAAATACATTGTGCAGTGCAACTCCTTATCAACATTTTAGAAATTAGAATGACTGAAAGACCAAATCTTTCTGTACCTTGCATATTGTCTGTTCAGAATGCAGATCCATATTTCATATGGTAAATTAGGTTAATAAAATATACGAATGTTTGTTAAAGGCATCTTCACATTTTGCTCATGCACCAAAAATACATTGTGCAGTGCAACTCCTTATCAACATTTTAGAAATTAGAATGACTGAAAGACCAAATCCTTCTCTACCTTGCATATTGTCCGTCCAGAAGCCAGATGAACAGCTTCAATCCCTTCCTTTTGATGCGCAACCACAACATTTGGAACCCACCAAAGTTGAGTGTGATTAGTTATGGTAGGAATGTAAAGTGATCTCTGCATCAGAAAATTAAGTTATTAAACTTGCTATCAACAACCTACTCACAAATTGTTAGGAAAAAAAATACTAAGTTACTAGTATTATCACCTCTAAACAAAAGAAAGAAGAACTAGTTATTAAAAAAAGGCAGGTGCACTTGATTCAACAATCCAACAAGTTAACTAACTTTCAACAACCAGAATGTGACAATCTTCTCATAGTACATATATCCAAGGGACTTATCAAAGGGAGAAAAAGAAAGACATGATTCTGACATGATCAGGCAATCGATGAATAGATCTCTTGATAAGCACCCAGAACATCAAAGTTTCAAAATGAAAACAACTATAATCTGTTGAGGCCAAAAACATTTTCCGTTTTTGTCTCTGTTACCCGACCAACTACAAGTCTTCCTTGAAAAAAGTTGATATTACCCCCAAATGGAGCAGGCTCTTTGTAGGCTCAAAGTGGAGATCAATACTCAAAAGAATATGATCTAGAACATCTTTCATGGAAAGTCGCAGAGGTCACTAAGTCAAGACATTGAAAATCCGTAATTGTATTTACAACAATTAATTATTATCTCTACTAAAAAAATATAAGAAGGTTCATCCATCTGGTCGCTGCTATCATGCTCACCCTCTTCACAATAATCACAATAAAGATAGGGTGGCGTATTGCTTCTTAAAATGTTGATTCAGTACAATATAATTAT